AGGGGAGGGGGAAGGGGATGAGGGAAGGGAAGGGGAGGAGAGGAAAAGAGGAGGGGGAGGGGAGGGGAGAGGAGGAGAAGGAGAGAAAAGGAGAGGGCAAGAGGGGCAGGGGGAGGAGCAAGAGGGGAGGGGGGAGGGGAGAGGAGGAGGAGAGAGGGAAGGGGCAGGCGAGGGGGAGGGCTAGAGGGTGAGGAAGAGGAAGAGATGGGCAGGGGGAGAGGAAGATGAAGGGAGGGGGAAGAGGAAGCAAAATCAGAAGGCAGGCCTCTCCTCCTCCACTGGCTTCCAAGTCACTTCGGATAGCCAGATCCGGACTACAATCCAGACTCTTTCAGGTGTCCACAAGGTTGGGGTGAAACATTAGCTTTGCAGGACTCTGGGGACTTGAAGTGAGATCCAGGGACTTTTGACCACACTTGCCCTATTGGGGCTGTGATCAGAGAGACCCAGTTCCAAGCCTGTGTCCAGGCTGGTTCTTCTGAAAACAAGCAGGTTGCGGTCTGGTCACTTACTACTCATGGGCAAAGTAGGACAGGTGTAGGCCATGGGTCACCAGAGACCTCAGTTTACTTGGCTTTTGTGAAGTGACATGAAAAACAGTGTGATCCCTTCAGTTTGCATTTGAGTAGGTGGTGTCCAGTGGCTCTCACAGAACCACATACACAGCGTGTACACATACATGCACATTTCTCACCCAGTGAAACAATACACACACTCACATGCACACATGTACACACGCATATGTAGTGTACATTCAGGCACGCATACTCAGGAGCACACATGTGCACACCTGTGGCTCATTGCTTTCGACGCGACAGGCCGAGGTACGGCCAGGCCAGCCATGATGAGGCCAGGCAGCTCCCACAGGGCAGCTTCCCAGGGATCCTGTCCACCGCCAAGCCCTCTGAATTTGTCCTGCCTTCCCAGATAAGCAGGTGTGACCACACTGTCACCAAGATAGCACAGCCCTCTGTTTGGAACTTGGCTTCCACAAAACCCTAGAAAGGGGACAGACATACTGTTAAGATACAGCTCTTCCAAGCACACATCTTACAAAGCTCCCCCTTCACGTGCACCCGCTCACCAAGCCCAGCCCTCACATGCACATCCGAATAAACACACATGCACGGCAGACCGGAGCCCAGGTGTGGTGTTCATCACAGAGCAGGGGCTGCTGGTAGTGGGCATGTCATGCATCATGGACCGCAGGGAGCTGGCACTGAGCATGCATTAAAACCATGTCATCTAAAAAAAAAACCATGTCATCTCTGACACTGGGGAACTGTGCTGGCCACAGAGCCCTTCCGCAGTCAGGGTGCTGGGTCTCGCCCGTTGGGGTTCAGCTGGTGGGTGACACTCTCATTTTATGGAACTGACTTTGGGGCATCAGAATATCGTGGCCCGCATTGGGAGGCCAAGGAGGTAATTAATTGTTGGAGAAATTATTTAATACATCGCAAATCCCTCTGCTCCTATCCCCTCAAATGGGATGCCAAAGCGATTACAGGCCAGCAACATATCAAACAAATTCACTTTATGAAATTGCTGTAATCACTCTCAGGGGGATTAGGAGCTTAGGAGGCTCCTTTGCAGCCAGAACTCTCTGGATGGTCAGGCAGAAGCCAGGCCGGCTCTTCAGGGCAGAGCGGGGGATGCAGCTCCCCCTCCTGTCGTTAGGAGCTGGTGTCCATGCAGGTGGCCCCTGCGGACCTGTTTTCACTTGCCAGGGAAGCATGATCTGTCCTGGGTGTTCCCAGCACAATCAGAGGGTAAAACCAGTGATTCCGGTCACGTCTCTGCCTCTGGATGACATTAAAAGTGAAATGAGGCAGTTGCGAGCCCCTGTGCCAAGTCCATGTATCCTGTTGGCCCATGTGCATGAGGGAAAGAGCTGGGTTCCTTAGGGAGAGTCTCACCCTCAGCTTTTTCTGCCCATCCTCTTAGCACAGTCCAGATGCTTTCTTTGGGTGGAAACAAACTTCTTAACTGGGGGAAATAGAAGATCTTTGGGGCAAAGGATCTTGGACATCCTGGTTAATACAGAGCCATGGTCACAGTGACCACCAAGATGCTGGTGTCTGCGGAAAGGCTGAGATAAGTCCCTGGGGGGAAGCCCCAGGGCACTACAGGCTCAGAAGACTGGGAGAAGTATCCTGCCACCTGGCTGTGTGCAAGGACAGAGGAAGGGAAGACTTGGATGTCTAGGCAGCCCCTGCTTCCCTGCAATGGGGGGCCAGCCCTCTGAACACCTGCAGCAAGGCTGAGGGCACTGGGCGAGTGGATGACACAGGGTCAGGCCTGTGGGACCAAGGACCCTGACAAGTCACTCCTACAAGTGATCAGGCTGGAGAAGCCTCACCCAGGCCCCAGGAGCCACTGTGAGAAGGGACCCTGAAGGTTGTTGGCTGTGGGTTGAGGTGCCTCTCTCAGCACTTTCAAAGGCGCCTTGGTCTGCATTCCTCAGGCTGGCATCTGTGGAAGACAGGAGGCAGCCCGGCCTCCACCTGGGGTGGAGAGGACCCAGGGCCTGAGCCCAGATGCTGTCCCACACGGGTTCACCTTATAGCCTGCCCAGTCTGGGCACCTCTGAGCCCCGGTGTGAGGCATCTCTTGGGGGGGACACACCTCTTCCTGTAAGACCCTGTAGAGTGACAATCAGAGATTGAACCTGGGGCTCCATTGGGCCCCTGGCAGTACAGCCTGACCTCATCCAGCAGCAGACATGTCCACCTGCTGTCAAGGAGGGGGAACCTGGGACACTCCTGTCTGGAGTTCGTAGCCACTGTGGGGTCACACATGGCCACTGAGCCTGCGGGGCAGAGATGAGCTGTGAGCCAACAGCTGCACTGAGTTTTAAAGACCAAGTACGAGAGACAAAGAGCCACATTGTTAGGAACTTCATACACTGAGTGCATATTGAAATGATAAGGCTTCAGGTGCACTGAAAGATGTTATTAAAACTGATTTCATCTGCTTCGTCCTACTCTTTGTATAGTACCTGCAGCTGACATGGGTTCCAGGGGACACCCCTGGCTGACAGGGGTGACTTCATATCACAGGGACACTCCACACCCTTCCACACCTGTGTGGCCTTATCATCTAGGAAGGATGGCTAGCCTGCCCTCACAGGAGGCTGCCTCAGATCAGGATGAGGGGAGCTCTTCCTCCTTGACCTGCCCCTCCATCCAGCTGACCCTCCTGCTTCCCCATCACACCTGTACGGGGTTCACACCGCTAGAGATGTTGCACCAACAACTTCCGGTTGATTTTGCTGCTCTGTGGCACGGCCCAGCTTCAGAGCAGTCTTCTGTGTTGGGAAAGGCTGCTGGCGTCCAGTGGACAAAGTGCCAGCAGCCCCTACAGAGACCGCATTTCACACAAAAAATGCCACACCACCAAGCCCTTTGTTTTGAAGAACAGTGGATAAACAGTTTGCCAATTTTTAAAAAACAGCATTTCACTTCAGTTTAACTTTTATTTAGACCATGTTATGGGAAGGATTTACATCTTGTCATGTGGTTCTTGTTCGAGTTGTCTCCCACGGGGGTCTCCGGTCCCCTCGTTCTTTGGTGGTTTTGATGCTGCCGTCCCATGATGCCTTGCAGATGGGTGTGCACACTCAGAAGCTAAGCTGGTCTGCAGTTAGACACACATGGTCCACGGTGGTCCACTGACCTGAAAAGAGAAATGAGTCCAATTGAAATGGTAGTAAGTATAATTTAATTTGGCACTAAAATCTGAGCACAGTATTGAAAAACTAAGTTGAAATAAAATATTTTATCCTGAATCTAAAAGGCGTGTGAGCCTTGCTGGCTTTCTCTGTTCCAAATCCCCGTGGATGTCTATGAAATGAGAAAGTTGAGTCAGGATCGCTTTGAAAGGGCCTGGAGCTCAAGAGTGTGTGGGTTTCCAGATTCCCTGCCTTGAGTGGTCAGAAAAGGGCTTGGGAAGAGTCTCCCATTCTGAGCCTGTAATGCACTTCTGCAGAAAGACCAGACATGAGAATGAAATGTGTGTGCATGCCGGTGTGAGCACATGTGTTTATGAACAAGGCTTAATCCTGCATTTCATTTTGCAAATACAAAGGAGCTTTTGGAAATGTATGTGTTAGAGTTAGTGCTGCGGACAGGCCGCCTGGAGATGGTCCTCTCCCCATCAACATCGCATTAGCAACGGGTTAACATTGGGGGTAGTAGCGCAACCTCGAAAAAGGGCCAGCGTGGCCATGGCTGCAGAGTGGGACCCTGATGCAGACCCGCTGCCCGGAGAGTCACTGTCCCCACCTGCGGGGCTGCTCACCTGGAATGCGCGGGAGATGGGAGGGGCTCTACCGGTCTTGCGGTCAGACCGGGGCCTCCCCCAGACCCCCCCAGGCGGCTCCTCCACGCATCCCTTCAAGCAGCGGCCTGAAGTGTCCGTTTTGGGGACAGCTGTCAGAAGGCACGTGCCCCTCGCTGCGGCCTCGACCTCACGGACTTGAGAAAAGCCGCCCTGCTCGGCCCCCGCACCTGCCGCCGGTCCAGCTCCTTTAGTGAAGGACAGTAACGGGACTATCCTCGTGGACACACGGAGGGTATAGCGGTCTGCGGAGGCGCCTCCCCGAGACAACCCAGCCCGCGATTCTTTCCGCCTTAGAGCCGGCGCTGGGCGCGGACTGGGAGCTGTCCCTGCGCCCCTGACCCCCGCGCTGGAATCCGAGCAGTTCCCCCAGTTCCCGTTGAGGTCTTGGGACTCTCCACGGCCTCCTCTGATGGCGATGCCTGGAGGAGCTGACTGGTCACCCTCTGTCCCAGGCCACGAGGTCTCCGGTTACCTCCCCGGGCGTGGGAGTGTGTCCAGGGGCGCTGGGGGTCCTGGACCCCCAATTCCAGGGCGTCCTCTCTCTCCGGCTCAATCCTGTGTTGCGACAGGCCTTTAACTTCCAGCCGGGAGCGAGGTGGGGCCGCCCCTCCTGGTCTGTCAGGTCTGCCCCGCCTCATCGAGGGCGCTCTGGAAGGTCCTTAGGGCTTCTCACTGCAGTGTCTGCAAAGCGCCGAGGCCGTCCCGGAGAAGGAGGCGCACTTGTCGGGACAGGGCCCCAGCGCGGCGCCCGCCGAGAAGGGGCAGACCGGCGCCTGGCCGAGGGGCGCCAGGGGGGCGGCGGCCACGGGCGTAGGCAGCCCCTGGCCCTGGTGGAGGTAGGCCACGAGGCGCCGCATCTCGTCCAGTGCCTGCGCCTGCATGAGGATGTAGTTCTTGGCCAGGAGCAGCGTGGCGATCTTGGAGAGCTTGCGCACCGACGGGCTGTGAGCATAGGGGATGACGGCGCGCAGGCCGTCCAGCGCGTCGTTCAGGTCGTGCATCCGCCGCCGCTCGCGCGCGTTGATGCTGAGCCGGAGCGAGCGC